GAGTCAATTTGAGCGTAACACTTTGCGTTCGTGTTTAACGAGTTGACGCAAGTTAACTTTTGTTGAATCGCACATTTTACTTGGGAAACTTTTAAGAGAAATCGGTGACCCTGTGCCCCAAACGAGTAGTGTTGTGTTGTACTCATCCGTTGACGATCCTGACAAAATGATGTTACTCACTCCTTTGGCAGTGAGCAGTTTATCTAAAGATAGAGGACAGATAGGATTGATTTTCACAAGTGTGCTGCATAATTACACTGTAATTTTTTTTATTCATCCATGGTGCAACGGTTACTGCACCGCATTTGCAATTCAGTTGAAACGGTGGGACATGTTTATTCAATCTTCCCGCCTCTGTTCACTCATCAGGTCACACGTGGTAGAGCAAAGTGTGGAGTCCTCCCACCTCTTCCAAGACGTCTGACCAGTGTGGAAGAATAGGCCAAGTACCCTCTAGCGAGGCTTTCTAGAGCTCCATCTGGTGGAGGTCCTTCCAACAGTGGCAGCAAAACATTGCAGGGCTGCACTTTAATCTCATTGCAATGTAAATTAAAAAGAAATCCAAATCACTGGGATACCATATAATCAAATTTTTATCGTTTGATAATATAAGGCGGGTAAACATCAAATAAATACGTCACACGTGAATATGCTTCATCGGCCGTAGCTCGCTTGCAGACGTTTTCGTCGTGACGTTGACTTTCGTTCTCGAGGTGCGTCGGCATTGTTTAAATCCCTCGGGACGAGGGGCGGTGGGGGTGACGGTGGGCGGGGAGCTGTTACGCCATTCCGCTTGGAGAGATAATATTAGAAAGTCCTTGGTTGCTTCCTCTCCCGTGGCCGGCTGGTAGCGGCGGGATGCCGCACGTGATTTATCAGCGCGTTCATCGCACTCCACTTTCAACTGCGCCGGGCGCTAACGCTAACGCTAGCGGAGAAAGAGAGAGAGAGAAAAAAGGAAACGATCGATTCCGCGGGCGGGCCGCGAAGCGCCCGTCGCTCCGTAACGTTCGACAGGAACGGCGGGATCGATCCACGATTGAAAACGATACGAGACGGTCACGGCGATAAAGGAGGGCCCCCCGACGGGTGACGGCTTCGCTCATCCTTGTAAGCGGCGGGGTAACGGGGCCCTCTGGAGCGAACGTTTTGAGCCAATCGGCCCGCTTCCGTTGGCGGGTGTCGCCTCTGTATGCGTGTGCGTGTGCGCGTTGAACTTCTTTCACGCATCGTACGTAGCCAACCATGCTAATCGGAGGTTGCTTTACCGCCGTGATCTAGGTTTGAGTTGCGAACGGGGAGGATCGATTTAAAAGCCCCCGTGGCCTCGGCCGGCTATTCGTCCACGGGATTTTTTAAGTTTGACGATTGTCCCGATCCGTGGAGCTTGTCCAGCGCATGCTCTCTCACGTGCAGAGCGGTTCGAGAATTGCGTTCGTGGAACTTAATCGCATAGCGCCATCAAGTCTGGGATGCTGATGAGCAATCACAGCGGCAGCCAACACAGCCACGTCGATGTTTTGCCGACGATCATCTTTTCGTGGGTATTTTTGCCAAATGATTCATTGCCCTTGACTTTGGAAACTGATTGAGCACCTAAGCTCACAGGTGGGATTTTTTTTCTCCGTTTCTCTTCACATCTAGAGACAATATAATTTTTGTACACCATGATCGAGCCAACGGAACGTTTGTTCGGAGCACCTGACTTGGCTATTCGATGGGTCGTCTCAGAGCAGACCTCTGCGGAGTCTTCTGGCTTGCGCTCCGATGAAACAGCAGGGCCCTGAAGAAAGAGGCTTGCTGCACGATTCACGATGGATCTGCGAACGCTTTTGTAAAAAAGAAAAAAAACGGCTGCAAATTCTCGGGCTGTGAATAATTTGGTCGGGGAGCGTACGCCATCTCCGTTTGTTCAATCGGATTTATGCCGCTGCCACGCCGTTTGTTTCCATGCTGGTGTGAAGCCGGGGGGGTCCGATGTCCCGAACGGCACGCGTCAATCGCGACCCGGCTTTCCTTGACCCGAACCCACCGGTCGCCGCGCCGTCACACGTCCGCGCTCGTTTCAACGCGGGTCCCGCGTCGATTGCTACGGCGGTGCTCGGAGGATGCGAAAAACTGGAAATGTTGACAAGTAAAAACAGTACAATAGAACAACACATATACCCCCCCCACCCCGCCTGCCTCTGATGAGTCCGGTTTGCCAGATATCATCCAAGCCCCTGGTAATGCAATCCAGAACGTCAGGATGTTGCAATGTAAGGAGAGGATGTGGAATAAACCATTTTTTTTTTATTAAAGAACACACACGGCGTTTATTTTGTTTAACCGGCTGCGAACTCAAGAGAGCAGGATAGTCACATTTGCGAGAGCGTCTTGCCGATGATTGCTGGACATCGTCCCAACTGAGTGATTTGTGGTTTCATTTGACAAGTTGGCTCCCAGATGCCGCCACACAGTGGCCTAATTCTTGCGAATGGCATCAGGGGATCTGGAGTATCATCACTGTGTAACATGATTTTTCTATTCTTTGGTTCTTTCGGTAATGTCACGTAGGTATTAAATAAAAGAAAATATTTTTTTATTATTAAAAATATATATATTTTTGTTTAGATTTTTTTTCTTTTATTTTATTTTATACCTACGTGACTTTACCGAAAGAACCAAAGAGTATGGAACATTGCAGTCACGAAAACTTAAGATCTAAACCCGATTTTTGTTCCTGGGTAGTAAATGTTATTTCCTAATTGCTTATGCCTCAAAAGTGCAGAAAATGGCTATTATTCCCCACAAACTTTGCTTTTGTGACCAGGACTTTACGTGAAGGAATGACACAAATGCACACCACGTTTTCCCATTGAAAATAGGTACATTTCAAAATATCACTGTCCTGGTCACAAAAGCAAAGTTTGTGGGGAATAATAGCCATTTTCTGTATTTTTGAGGCATAAGCAATTAGGAAATAACACTTACTACCCAGGAACAAAATAAATATTTTTTTTGTTCCACAGCCTTCTAATTATGATGCAGCCATGTAATGTATGCATGTACATTGCCAACCATGCGAATTGAACACACAAAAGCACTTCTAAATAAACGAGTTTGTCAATCTAGACGATGATTTGAAAGTGCATAGCTCCAGTGGCTTCCTAATATCGGACGGAAGAGCGTTCCAGACGGCCGCAGAAGCCCATCTGCAACTCGCGGCGAACGGAGCGCTACCACTAGGCCGTGTACCTGCCCGGTAGTAAAAACATTGTAATAAAACTGGCATATCCAGGATTATGTAATTGTGTTATGTCATTTTTCCGGTTTGTTATTGTTCCCCTAAAAATCAACGTCTAGTCTTTTTTTTGTTGTACCTTCCAAATAAAACAAAAAGGCAAAATTAAAGGAGTCTTGGTCGCAGGGATGTTGCGCCGTGCATTTCCAAAGTTGACTTCTTTAAAGGAAACTCGCCCGCCTCCCACGCGAACGAAACGTCTCCGTGGAGTTTAACTCCGCCGTGCCGCGGCCGACAATGTGCCCGAAGGCCTGCGAATAATTAAAGAGCCGTTAGCCGCCTGATAGATTAGATCGAGTTCCTGTGCGAATGGACTTTTGAGTGCATTTTTCCCAGGAAAGGTACAAGCACTTTGTGACTTGAAAGGTACAATCTGTTCCTCATACAACTGCCACACATGGCTACTATCACGTGGACCAAGCGTGGGGATTTTTTTTGTTGTGGTGGGGCCGCGTTTTTTCATTTTTCATTTTTCGACGATCTTTGCCGTTATCCTCAGCTGCGCTCCGGCGTTAACGGCAAACACGCACTCCTGGCTGTCGTTCAACTAATTAGAACGTCCCCTTGGGGAAATCACAGTCCGTCCGCGTAGCACATTCAAGTTATCTACTAAAAGACTGACCTAGACATCCCCGCAGAGTTCTGAAAGAAGGGAAACCCAATCCCCGAGTCGCCATTAACAATGCATTATTATTTAAATATAGCCACGTTCATTCCATTTGTCAAATGTCGCCTCTGCAAGGTTATCTACTCCGCATCGGCAGTGAGTTGTTTCTCAGCGTGCGTGTTGCGTACTGCTGCTCTTACTCCACACAACGAGCGCAGCGTGTGTATGCAAGTGCACATCGTGTGTGTGTCTGTGCAACGGTGGCTTAGCGAGTGGTCCGTGCACATTTCAGCAATTCCAGCAGCGCAAGTTAAGATTCCTTCCTGGCCAAGCACACCCTTGTCCGTCACTATTATCATTATTAAAATCTGGACATTACACCGCTCTTAGGTTGACTCGGCCCAAATATGATCACCTGGTAAGGTTTTCGACCACCAGCACTGAGGATTTACACAAAGGCAGCCTGGCCTGAATGGACCTCCGTGTGCAGCTGTGACCTAAAATTGGCGGCAGGGCGTTGCAGCCGTAACACCCATGACTCACAGCAAGAAGGGCCTGGGTTCGACTCCTGACTCAGGCCCCTTTCTGCGTGTGCAGTTTGTATTCTCTCCCCCATGTTCTGCATGGGTATCCTCCGGGTTCTCTGCTTTCATCCCATAGGTAAAACATAATACTCGTGCAATGTTACTGGCATTGGCCAAGACATCCCAATTATGAAAATTTACCCGCAAATTACTCTCCAGTAATTGGTATCACAAGGAGCAACCATAGCCCCCCAAATGCAAATGCTTGGCAGGACCCTCCTGAAAAAGACAGTCCTGAGACTCGATGAGGCTTCCTTGCGTAAACAAGCAAAATGATAAATAGTCATGAAACGCTGCTCACTAAAAACGTCTGTGATAAAAAAAAGAGCTCCATAGCTTATCGGATTTCTCCACAGACAAATACAGATTCTGATCAAGATTCTGAACGACACTTGCCACAGGCAGCCCCCCGGTATGGAAGGGCTACACAGAAGATCTTTGTCTTCGCAGTGCGTGGATTTGTCGAGCAGTGTCACGGATACCTCGCTCTTCTTGCTCGCTCATGCATGATTAATTCTCTTCACAGAGATTTGAGCAACAATCAACTGGAGGACATTGATGCCAGCGCTATGATGAGCCGCCTGCTAAACCTGAAGGAAGTGTAAGTATTTGCTCCGTGTCCGCCGACAACTCGGCCATCGTGTGCGGTTCGCACGCACGTACAGCGTGGGGGGAAACGTTACAAAGCGTGGTGCTTTCTCTCTGCGCGCACACACCCTCGCGCATTGGCCTTCTCACGAATGGTTGCTGTAGGAAAATGGCACGGAGAGCAATCGTGAATGTGAAATATTGTTAACGTAACAAAAAAAAAGTCAAAATTCTGTTACCTTATTTTGTATTCATGAATCCGTACAATGCGTGGCTTTATTTTAAGTTACATAATTGTTAGCGCTTTAATTATGATTAATTTTGCGGGTTTTTTTTCCAGAATACATTGGCAAATCGTTTACATTCGGACATTATGCTCAAGTGTTGGAACCATCGTCAATACTGATGTTTTCCCCACGTTAATTAAACATGAAGCTAGTGCCAAATAACGTCACACGGCTCGTGATGAATGTTGATTGCCCCAAACACACCCAAAATTAACGACACCTTTGTGAGTAGGTTCAACGTTGCTGTAGGAACAGCCGATTATTATTTTTTCTTCTTCTTTTTAAATCAAGGCGTGCAACATTTCAACGCAAATATGTATTTGGGAACCGAGGACTGTAAATCAGTGTTTGGTTGCAGGAATGTTGCATCTGTATGGCCTTATATATTGGCACGAATGTGCGCTATTCTATTTTTAAAATATTTTTTTTCATAAAAATATATCAAAACAAATGTCACAAGTCTAAAATAATATCAATGCACCCTTGCCTCCCACGCCTGCATGAAGGTTTTTCTTTTCTCTACACTGCTCTGAAATTCTGAAATGAATGTGCCAGCCCCCGGCCGGTCAGCGGGGCGAGTGTTATATTGACCAGTTGTTTGAAAAGAAGTTTGCAGGCTGCCCCATAGCTGTAAAGCGTCGTTGGAGACCTGCCTGCCAGCAACGAGCAAAACAATGGTCGGGTTTTTACCTTCGAAACGGTGGGGGGGGGGGGAACAACGGAGGCTCTGTGTCATTGCCAGTGCCGATGTTTACCTCCGGTGGTGAATGCATTTTCGTATTGTGTACCTAATGGGGCATATTAATTATTGGGTGTCTGCCTAGTCTGCTTGAAAATGGCGTGCGAGCAGCTGAATGGGTTTAATGAATTGACTTTTCAGCCTATGGTTATAGTAGTTTAGCGATGTGTTTATTCACGCTGCTTATAACTCCCGTCTTTGTATCGCTTTTTTTCTTCTTTCTTAAATTCACTCTAGTATATTTCGCTTGTGCGGGTCAGAGTTGTGACAGGAGATTAATAAATTTCCAAGTCGGCGCTCTTGCTGTGCCAGAAAGCAGCCTCCCCAAAAGATGGCTTAGGAAGTCATTTCAGTCGGCCTCTTTATCCACTCTCTATGTGCCTATGTTGAACTTCTTTCGCACCGTACGTAGCCAACCGCGCTAATCGGAGGTGCGGGGGAAGGACAAGAAATTAAACACAAACGGATAGTTCCAAATAAATGAGTTTTCAATATCGATGATTTAAAAGTGCACAGCTCCAGTGACTTCCTAATATCAGAAGGAGGAGCGTTCCAGACGGCCACAGAAGCGCATCTGAAAGTGAGCGATGGCGGTGACCGTCTTTGTCCGGTGGCTAGCCAATAGCCGCTCCAAGGATGACCGGAGTTCGCGTGCTGGTTTACGGAAAAATGTTCATCGCATGTAATTAAAACCAAACGTATAAATTTTCAGAGCTAACATAAGCTGCGTTAAGTGAAAAAAAAAAATCACATTTAATATAATGAGTTTTTTTTTTTGACCAGTGATGGATCGACTGGGCCGAGACCTTAAATTCTCTACACTTGAGAACTTGGTTTAATCACCGGGCGGCTGAATCCCAGATTCCGTCCCAGGATTTTGTGAGCGCTGGCTCAGTGCACGGTCTAACCCTCTGAGCCGCCTTGTCCTTCCCACTGATTTTACACAAATCTATTCAGGGTTAAATCTCGGGATAGATTCGCAAAGCTTGACATCCACTTCAATCGTCAAGGCTTAATTGCAGCCTTCAACAGTCAAGTGTCCAATGCCATTGACCTGAGGCATTGCCTGTTGTCCCGGTCGAAGGATGAGGTTTTCATCACGGATTCTTTTTTTTCCACATCGAGTAACTTGTCCGCCTCGAGTTAACGTGTGCTGCTCATGCACCACCCTCGCAGGAGGAACGAGAGGGGGAGAGGGTGAAGAAAAGAACACTCCACAAGCTACGCTTTTGTGCTGGCCACCAACCCAGACATGCCCTTGTCCCTGTTTGTCACGTGATACAATAATACGACCCTCATCTATATTGCATTCCTGCCATGTTACAACCCAAGCCACATTACAGCCTTGCTCGTGTGGGAGGCCGCGCACAGACTCGCGTCTTGATTCAATAAGCCCGAACTCGCACTGCCGATGAATAGGATCACTGTGAATATCCGCAGTAATGCACGCGACTGACTGCGTGTCCCGGATATCGATATAAGCACTGCTTGTGTACGCACACCGGCGCTACCTCCAGGAACTGATACTATTTTTGTTGGAGAAGGTCAGAGGGCAGAGACCTTGAAGCTATTCGAGGCTTTCCCATATCGCAGGCATGCCACCTTGCCAAGCCATGCATGAGATTTTACTTTTTAGCGTTCAAAATTTAATAAGTTCTTATCCATTTGACTTCGTCATCAAAAGGGAGTAGCCTCAAGCTCTGTTTAGGGTTTGAAATTAGTTGATTAATTCTCATTCGTGGTATATATTATCTGTGTTGTTTAACTTTTGACCACCGTATTTGTCATGATTGGACGTTACCTTTACCGTAATGATGATTGCTATTGGCTTTTATCATGGCTTGTCGGAATTCTTTCTATATTGCGAGTATAGTCGTCTTTACTGCTACTATTATTCTTGTTTTTGACTGCATTTCTCTCAGATTTTATCTGTACTAGTGAGTCTAGTTTTTTTCTTTTCTTTTTAACATACAACACTTGGATATATTTTGATATGAGAGGCGCTTTTTAATATAAAGGTAATTGCTATTATTACACCATCACTTACCGAATAATTATCTCAAACACCGGGTGCTTTGGTGCCTCCATATATACTGTGTGGGAGGCACATGGTGCAATATACGTAATAAACGATGATCGCCATTGTCAGCGATCATCTGCCCATGGCGTTGCCATCCCTCAAGGCTTTACGATCCCACAATCCATATTGTACATCCTGCTCAAGCACGATGCCGGTCTCCTCGCTCCATCTCCATGCTGGATGTCAATCTTGGGTGCGTTGGTTTCTCCGTCAGTTTTCCATTCCTTCGCAATTACTCGGCCCGAATTCGAGTTTCAAGTAAAACATTTTATTTTGCTCGACCCCCAAGTGAGAAGTCGAGCAACCAAGGACAGTAGAGATTTCATACGCGGTCACAAAAATGGCAAAAACAAAACAAAAAATCTAATAAAATTACAAACAGTGAAGTGAATCGGAACGAAAATTAAATATGAAAAATAACAATAGGTTATCTACCCTTTCTTAACACCCGATGTATTGCCAGAAAGGGTAAAACCTATTCTTATTTTTCATACTTTGACGCTGGAAAAAATGCCAGCATCAAGCAAAATAATTGGCGCCGACCCTGTCCAGAGATGTCCTGCCCAAGTCAACATTATTATTTTTTATTATTATTTTTATTATTATATTTTAAACTTGTCAACATGGGTGTCTCTAATTGTGGCTTTGGTCCCTGACCTACAAGTGCCTCTGCTGAGTTATCAATGCAGCTGCCACCAACGTTACCGTGGTGACGTTGCTCTGCCCGCGACGACTGAGAAAAAAGTTTTCTACTTTTGTAAACACAAAATAAACAACCCCCCCCCCCCCCTCACAGAATGTTATTGTCAAAACATCTCAATGTTGGGAGATTACTTGGACATTACTCAATTGGGATTACGCGCAGCAGCAGCAGCAGCAGCATCGCCCCCTTACCACGAAAACTTGGCAGGACCCTCCTGAACAAAGAGACTTGAGACTCGGTGAGCCTTTCCAGGGTTAACAAAGAAACGTAAAACAAAAGCGACGGTCATAGGCGGAGTTTGGGGGGGGGGGTCGGGGGGGGGCAGAGGGGGTTCACTTTGTCCCTCACATTAGGAATCGTTGTTGCATATAGTACAATTATTAATTTCTAATCTTCATTGTGAACTATTGAAAAAAAAAATTGTCCAGTTGGGGGGGGGGGAGGGGGTGGCATTGCCCCCCGTGCCCCGCTCCCCCCACCACACCAAACTCCTCCCATGACAACGATCCTTTATTTTCTATCTCTCTATAAAACCTGCGGTGTGATGTCTAACGACGGAGCCTCTCCGTCTTCCTCAATCTTCAGCGTCTCTCAAACAGGAACTCCGGTGCGACCGCTCGCCTCGTCTCTACGCCTGATCCCTTTCCTTCCTCTTCCCCCTCTCTCCGTGCAATTCTCATTTCTTCAGAATTAAGTTTCTACCTATCTACAGCTTGTGACCCTCTTAGATATGTCCCACATACACCCCCTGCCTTCACACCTCGAATTATCATGGATTCTTTGCTTCCCTATCGGCACATTTTTCAGCTCTAGACTTATCGCACCAGCGTTGTCTTTCCGTTCTTCCGTAACAACCCACGTGTCAAACACATCTAGTCTTTGTTGCGGACAAGCGAACTGAATTCAACCGCATCATGAGTCAACTCTATTCCACTCCGTGTCTGCCATGTGCATGCTGTACGTAATTATCCATTCCCATTTGTCAATAATCATAGAGTACAATATTATTCGCCGGGTTAACATACAAACTTCAAACAAACAACTTGCACAGGTCCGGCTGGTTTGCACTGAGGCATTACCACTTGACTGGCAATTGACTGACAAATTGCAAATGTCACAAATTCAAGTCGTCCGTCGATGGCCTACTCGTGCCAATTATCCCTGCACGGATCACAAAGCGAAGGCCACTGTATGGGACATCAACATCTGTGTGCAGCGACTGGTCCCTGTCATGGGAACGTGGAGTTTCCACTGTTAGCTCGTTGCTGCTGACAGTGACACTTTGACTTGACTTTAATAACCGCGCGAAGGATTCGTATCGTGAAACTATTTTTTTTTAATGCACGTTTATACGCTTAAAGTTTCGCGCTTCACGGCGAGACTGCGTGATTTGAGTCCGTTTTGTTGGGTGATGCCGATGCTGATGCCGCCGCTGCGTTGGCAATGGGTGCACAAGCACACGTAACAACAAAACACAAAAATATACACAATAGGCAACGTTTCAGGCAATGACCCTTCTTTAGGCAATGGATTTATGTGCTTTGAAGAACGGTCATTGCCCCGAACGTTGCCTGTCATACATATATATTTTTTTCCTTTTAAGGAAATGTTATTGATGAATGTGTTGAGTTTTTATAATCATCATCCATCCCCCTTTATTGTTATGTTCTCTGCGGTGATGTAGAGGCTCACGTGGTTGATGCCTGTGACCCGGGAGGTACCAAATTCAATTCCCAGCCAAAGTGGGAATCCCATCTATTTAATAAGTGGGGGAGCGGTGGCGTACTGATTCACAACGCTGCCCTACGAACCCAGTGACCTGAGTTTGATTTCCAGCCAGGGCTAAAACTAAAAACTAAACTTTGTATTTTTAACCAGGTAAGGCCCACTGGGCTATATAGCTATTTTTTCAGAAGCAACCTGGATATCGCAAATGATAGCCAAACGAAGTGCCTTACCACATGGAAATTTATAGCAGCCAAATAATCTGAACGCGTGTTGATTCTAAACCGGGGGACCCGGGACGAAAATCCACGTGACCACGGGGAGAACATGCAAACTCAAAATATTCAGGCGTCAGGGTCGGTATCGAACCCACGACCTCCTGTATACCAAGCGAGGTAGTTAACATTTCGCCACCGCAGCGCCCCTAACATCACTGGCAACTGACCTCTGCTCCGGCCCTGCTCCTAACCCTATTTACCAACCTGTATTGACCAGCATGGTGAAGTATGGTCAAACAACCCCAATGGCTGACCCGACATTGCTCCAGAAGTGCGTTGACCCAATCGAAGAGCTGAAACTAAAATAAATAAATGTGCTCCCAGTAAAAATGGGAATGCCCTTAAACCGGCTGGCTGACAGTTTGCTTGTGGTGGGGTGATGTGTGGGTTTCCACACCTATTCCAGTCTGTTTGGACAGTGGTAATATAGGCTAAGGGTCCCTTGCAAGGTAAAGGCCTCTTGACTGCGGGAGCCTCAAGTGCTGTTTGCAGGTCATACCTCTGCCTTTCACTTGTTTTACCTCAGTAAACGAGCAGCGTCTTTGCAGATAAGGGCTCGATTGCTTTATTGTAGCAATAGACCCACAGCAGTAGAACACTGTTTCCTGATTTTAGCCAGGGAGGCCGTGTCTAGTAATACTAATAATAATCTCAACGTGTAACACAGCACAGCGTTCGTTCATTCTCAAGGCGAGAGAATGATTCGGTGGTGTGAGGAGGAACCACTGCCAAAGGGTGGAAAGGCAGCAGCTGGGCAGTCAGCCGACGCCTCCGTTTAGCACGGTTGGCTACGTACGGTGCGAAAGAAGTTCAACATACACGCATATACACACTGCAATACATCCCCGCTGCCCCACCCTCAAGCTCTGTTGTCCTCTATACATTAAGGTGTTTCGGCCAATTTATGAGTGTTTACCACTGATCAGCACGGTTGGCTACGTACGGTGCGAAAGAAGTTCAACATACACGCGTACATGTGGGAGGAAACTGGAGCAACGGGGGGGGGGGGCGGTGGGAAACACTTATCTGTACTTTTGGTGTTTTTTTTTTATTGAACTTTGTGTGATGTCATTCTTTGCAATGCAATATTTGAACGTGTTTTTGTCCTGCTGTATGATGCGCGTTAATGTATCTTCTCTCTTCTCCCCGTGTCGTCTTTAGGAAAGTGGCTCACAATGAACTCACAGAAATAGCAAGCTTTGGAAAATCGTCTGAAAACATCACCGTCTTATCATTGTAAGTAAAGATAAGGTTTCGGAATGTAATTAAACAGTACAAACTTGCAGAATGGAATTTAATGCAGTAACAGCATTTGCAACTGTATCCCATTTTTAAGCCATGGATGCTACCCGTATGCTGTCAGATTTATCCATCTTCGAGACACATTCAACAAAAAATAACCACGGATTTCTATTGGGGGGTGATGGATTGCATTTTTTTCGCTGGCATATGGTAACTACCTCGCCTGGTGTGCAGAAGGTCGTGGGTTCGATTCTGACCCTGACGCTTGCTGCTGTATATTTGGAGTTTGGATGTTTTCGCCGTGGTCGCGAGGATTTTTCTCCGGGTCCTCCGTTTTTCCCTTCCACATTTAGCGACACCACGCGTTAAGAGTATTTGCCCACTGTGCAATATCTCACAGTGGGCTTTACCTGGTAAAATACAAAATATTTAAGCGTTTTTTGTAGGTACTTTGAATATTGTAATGTTTACTCGTGTGTGTGTTTACTTGTTGTCAATGGGAGTAAAAACCTTTCCTATCGTTTATCTTGACGTGCCATTTTTGCGAGTTCCAGGTTCATGGTATAATTGCAAACAAAATTTTTGTACAATGAAATTCGCGTTGTGTGCAATGTATGTGCGTTACACACACGCGCAGCTGCGTCACATCTCCCATGGTCTGGATTTGATCGCAATCAATTGCACATCAATTGCAATTACTGTGTTGGTACCAACAGATCTCCCCTAGGTCAACTCAGGCTAAAGGGAATAATGAACGTTGTGTATTAATGCCGCCATTTAAAGAACGCAAACGCAATGGACTCTTTCCCCTTTCATGAGGCGTTAAGGATATAATCGGCCGCTCGCTAATAATCCTGGCCTCGCAGAAAAAAGTTCACCACGTCAAACAAAGTGGACCTTTGTCTTTGCGTCTGAGCACGCGTGTTCCTGGGCCGCCTTTGCATGTGTGTGGTTTCCACATGGTTACACATGTCCGTGCGTGTATCAGCTGTGCATGCTTTCACATGTCTGTCAGTGTATGCATTGGCATGCGCAAGTGTCTACACACGCATGCGTGCGCGTGCGTTAAGGGGAGCGGTGGTTCAGCGGTTAGCGCGCTGCGCTATGAACCTGGCGACGCGGGTTCGATTCCCGCTCACGGCCAACACCGGTGACGATTATTTGAACCGGTCCTGGGCCTCCCCTAGGTCGACTCAGCCTCAATGAGTACCTGGTGCATAAACATCGCCACTGGGGAGACAAAGGCGGTCGGGCGTGGTGCTGGCCACTCACCCCCCCCCCCCTTGTTTGCCGTGCCGGCCTTCATCGGTGCTCGCTAACAGCACTTGCCCCAACAGTCTGTTAAGGCTATATGGGTGATCTTTGTCTTTGTGTTCCGTGCTTGAGTACCCTTATGTGTATAAGTAAGTGCCTGCCAGATTGTAGCACTTAATCCACCAGCTTCACAAACATTCCCTACCTTTTTTTTGCTCCATCTCAACTAATCTGCAACCTACATAGCTTAAGCAGCCCTGCTGTTTAACCGTGAATACCTCGTCGCAATCATCAGCACTCCTCTCTTCCTTTTATAGTAATTTCTTCTGAATACATCTTAGAATAGCATTCATGAGAATTCGTGATATCGGACGATTTTTTGCTGTTTTAAATATATATTGTGATTTGTTCCTATATAAATCCGTTGCCAAATAGATGTTTTTTTGCATGCACCGGCTAAATTGACCTTCGATGTCACTGTAACTCGCAGCTTCCACACGTGAAATCGCCATGCATGTGCAATAAGTAGAACTCTACTACAGCTTATTCGTTTGTGCCAGGCTTACCAGTGGAAAGCACGGACAACGATGGCATGCGATAGCCGTAGGCCACGTGATGAGATCCTAATCTTACGCCGTCACTCTGACTACTGTGTAAGCAAATCGGAGGTGTTGTAACTTCGCTGTGCACCTGAGCGTGGTCGTTCTTAAGTCGTGAAGCAAACAGGGCATTGTAAATATATAATCACGTTTCTCCTTTAAAGAAACTCTGCCCGCCATGCCGAGCTTGTCATCTACCCGGCGGTTTGGACCTCGACATGGCGTGTGAGATTGGGTTAAAAAAAAATTTGACGTACAAATCCTTTGGGTTGAATTCAGGGCCTTTGTTTTCTTCCTGTCAAGATATAAACACGGACCCGCAAGATCTGTTTGGAACCTCTGCCGCATCGATCGGGTCAAAGAAACGTCTCGCGAGATAAGGGATGTATAGTATGATCACGTCGCAAACTTGACACTGTGAACATCTGTTCACCCATTGACCAAGAGTCTTGACTTTTTAAGCTTTAACCGAAACGTGACTGCAACTGCTCCCTCACGCCACCACCGGCAGAAGGGCCTCCACTCGAGGGAGCTCCACAGAGTCTCTCTCTCTCTCGACGATAAGTCATTTGGTCTACTCTTCCACTGTGGCCAGACATTTCGATAAAAAAAAGGATCAATAGTGCCCACACTTTACCCTGCCACTTGCGACCGGCCAATAAACTTCAACTGTGGGGCGTTCCCATGAACACTGCTGGGTTAGACGTAGGCGGGCCAATTTGAAAAACCGTAGCTTATTGTTTTAAAACTGCCGACGCAGCGAGCCCATTTGTTACACCACGGCGGGATCCCCTTGAACTGAACTGTAACGATGAAGACAGAGTGAACATTGTTTAACCCCTCTTTGTTAATCGCAGTACACATTTTCACAGGGGTTGGGCAGATATCAGAGAGTGGGCTCTAACTTTGATGGGTAGCGGAAGAAAATGCGGCAAATTCCGTTTGTTGTATTGCACTTCTGCGCTCCCACTTATATTCTACCCACCTCCAAGCTACACTGACCGGCATGCTGAAGTATGGTCATATCACCCGGGGGGGGGGGGGGGGTGGTGGGCAGAGGCCCTCAGTTTGCAGTGGACTGACAAAGGGCTGTACATGTGCACATTGATGTGACGGCGTGCATTTGGCAACTTGCGTGGTTTAAAATGCGTACCCTATTGGTTTCAACGGAGTCCCCGGGGCGTCGTGTTGACTTTACGTTGAGCGTAGTTTGGGTTCATCGCCTCGTTTCACGAACTGTGGGAGAGGACAAGTTTACAACCCTAATGGGTGGTGGAAATCCAACTTTCTCTTTGAATTGTGATGTGCGCTGGTGAATTCATTGTAATCTCTGTGCACTGCTTAGCAAAATTTTCTACGTAAAACCCCACCAGCCGTTTTCTGTACACGGCTGGATGAAAGTGCCTCCCGTTCTTGAAGGCCAACAATGTCCTCTCGCCGCTTTTAACAACTGCAGTCATATTTGGCGGTCCGTGCGCTCCAATTTCATCACTCCCATGGCGCGCGAGCTGGCAGCCCTTCCAGAACTGCTGTAAAAGCTCATCGGCATAAAGTTTCGGGTTTTGGATATGGATTCAAGGATTCTTTTGTGGGTTATTGTTGTCGTTTGCCAGTCCTTGTGTTGTGGGATTGTGGCTTTTAAAAATCCCCTTTTGTTATGTCCACACAGCAGCCATTCACGTGCCAAGGACCACAGGCTACCGTTTTCTGAACCGCCCGGGACGAAGCTATTTTTAATATTCTAAGTGGTGATGTTTATGAAAACAAACTTTGACAAAAAAACGCACACATGCACAGCAATAAAAGCGAGGCCATCGGCTTCGTGCATTTGTTTAAAGTGGCTTCTTCATCGAACGTGCCATCATGTGTCTTTTCTTTCTCTCTCTCTCTGGGATCTATACGGGATAGCCAGCTTAGAAAACATAAAAAAAAGGAATTAACTCCAAACTTGTTCTAAGTACTCGCAAGTATTTACCTTGCAGTGCATTATTTGTTCCGTCACTATGAGTGTTTGACCTTAAACACTGGCAGTGAGCAAATAAAGTTTAAATAATTACGGTGGCCTTAGTCATCATGGTGTGTGCCCAGTTTGGCCTCGGGCTCAAGGTAAGCCGAATGTTCAGTACAAAGACATCTGATAATACATTTAGCTTTGGGTCACTTTGCAAAATCGGAAAGATAAACTCTTGTGCCCACAATGATCTTTCCCTAAAACCTGTCAAAAAATGAGTTAATTCCCGTCTGAAAGGATTTACAGGAACTGCTTTCATCTCTGTTTGTGGCTTTACAAACTAACAAAAACGTTTTAAAAAAATTGTACATTTGTTTTGCGAATAACTCCAGCATCCTTCTTTGGTGTATTGCATTTTAACACGTGGGCTTTCGCGACCAATAGTTTTTTTTTGTTAGATCTCGTAGATATTTAAACCCACCACCACACCACACAGCCAATTCGCAATGTTTTGTTTACGTGACAAACCTCACAATTGGCTGTGTCGGGTGGTGGCGGGTTTAACAAAACATTGATATTTATGCGATCTAACCCGACAAAACCCTCGTAGATTGCATAGCATTGTCAAACACTGTAGAAATGACATCTACAATAGCTTTATTCATTCATAAGGTGTCTGGAAAGATTTAAATAAGTACATAATGTGTGTGCATATATGCTTTTGAACTTGATAGCATGTGCTGTTCTCTCGCTGGACATTGAAATCCACGCTGCAACACACTGCTTTCATTTTACTGATTCCAGCAAAGGCTTTGGGTGATTGAAATTGTATGCAGTGTAGTTGTCAGTAATAACATACACGTGCTTGTGTTTTTTCCTGATAAAACTGCTGTGCACGGTGGATATTTTAACTTGTGATTGTTTTTGTTTGCGTTTTTTGGGTGACGGCTTAATTACCATTCGGAACGTTCCAAATACAAACTTTGTGAAAACGTCTCCGGGGGATCCGAAGCAGATGTGAACAAATGTTAAATCATCTTCGCATGAATCTGTTCACATAAGAATGCACGAAAAAAAAACCTACCTTAGAGCTCATTTTTTCATTACACTGCTGGATGAAGGCCTACTCAGGCCCTGTCAGCCAATGCTCGCGCATACTTCACTTTGCCGGACAGTGCCGCTTTGTAACGAGATGGGAGGTCCAAGAACAGCTCCGATATGTGCTCGCCACTAATGCTACCCATGGTCGGAAATGGAACTCGGGTCGCCAGGTTTGTAGTACAGAGCACGAACCACTG